GAAGGGGTGGGGGGAGGGATGGGGGCTAGGCGGGGAGGATAGCAGGGCCATCCTGCTGCTCGTGACGTAATTGTGGCGTCATTGATCCTCCTCCTCCCCCCCCCCCCCACACACGCTAGCTGCGAGCGGCCCCAGCCAAGCATCAGCAAACCTACTCTTGTTGCTTCTGCTTCAGTGTTTTGCTAACCTAATGGTGCTTGCTTAAATGTCTATGGTAGAGGCAGTGATAGCGCCTTGTCCCGGCTGCTATCCTTGTACGGGGTGTGTAGGTCCTCTTTACTTAAGAGGTGTTTGTTGTTTCTGTTTTTGATGTTGTGGATGGAGATGACTTCTGTTACACCTTTTAAGTCGTTGACCGTTAACCATCAGTGTAAGGTTGAGTATTATCTTTAGTTTCTTACTCAGTTGCGTCCCAGCTTCTACCAATGTACTCCTGTCGTATTTTATTTGAATTGACCTCCCGTATTTTGTGTTATCACCTCTGCTCCTTCTCTAATGTTTGAAGATGGATTTCCCTTACTCGTCATGTGTTGACATCTATTATTAGGTTTCCATGTACGGGGACACTTTTTGGTTCACTTCTTGGAACGCTTTGCCAAATCCACACACTTCATTTTGATAGTGTCCTCTATTTCTTCTAAAAGACTAGGGCTCATTTGGATTGCAATTGCTGTTGTTGGAGCATATCTGGAGAGGGCCCCGAGAACTGGCTCGTCTTGCGATAACTTGGTCCAGCAAACTGTTGTTTGGAGCGGCCCGCAGGCCCACATATCTACTGTACCCGGTTTGTCCGACACTTGCGAGATCCTGTCCAATGAAACTGGGGCCAAATTCACGAAGCAGTTATGCAAGCACTTAGGAACCTGTCCATCTTTTCTCAATCTTTGGCGGCTTTCTTTACAATTATTAAATAGTTAATGTAAACTGTTTAATAAATGTAACCGAAGCCGACAAAGATTGAGGAAAGATGTACACGTTCGTAAGTACTTGCGTAACTGCTACGTGAATCTGGCCCCTGCAAGAGAAGAGCTGTTATGAACATAGGCAGCCTCTCACCCTGCTAGTTATTCCCTTTACCATTTAGAAGGTGGGTTGCCGGAACAACCCTGGACATCTTCAAGAGAAAACTGGACTGTTTTCTAAGAGAAGTTCTGGATCAGCCGGGCTGTGGTGGGTATGTGGGCCTGCGGGCCGCTCCAAGCCTGGTGGACCAAACTCTCACAAGTCAAGCCTGGCCTCGGGCCGGGCTTGGGGAGTAGAAAAACTCCCAGAACCCCATCAACCAGGTAACCAGGTACCAGGTACCAGGGTGTTGACTCTTGGGCCCTTTGTTTATAGTCGTCTTAAAATACCTATTCACCCCTACTCTTGAATATTTTGCACATTATTCTTTCCCCCTCCTCAGTTCCCCCCTCCCCCCTCAGTTCCCGCCCCTGCCCCCCTCAGTTCCCCCCTCCCCCCCTCAGTTCCACCCCTCCCCCCCTCAGTTCCCCTCCCCTCCCCCCTCAATTCCCCTCCCCCTCAATTCCCCTCCCCCCCAATTCCCCTCCCCTCCCCCCCTCAATTCCCCTCCCCTCTTCCCCCCCTCATCCCCCCTCAATTCCCCTCCCCTCTTCCCCCCTCATCCCCCCTCAATTCCCCTCCCCTCTTCCCCCCCTCATCCCCCCTCAATTCCCCTCCCCTCTTCCCCCCCTCAATTCCCCTCCCCTCTTCCCCCCCTCAATTCCCCTCCCCTCTTCCCCCCCTCAATTCCCCTCCCCTCTTCCCCCCCTCAATTCCCCTCCCCTCCCCTCCCCCTCAATTCCCTCCCTCCCCTCCCCCTCAATTCCCTCCCTCCCCTCCCCCTCAATTCCCCCCTCCCCTCCCCCCCTCAATTCCCCCCTCCCCTCCCCCCCTCAATTCCCCCCTCCCCTCCCCCCTCCCCTCCCCCCCTCAATTTCCCCCTCCCCTCCCCCCCTCAATTCCCCCCTCCCCTCCCCCCCCTCAATTCCCCCCTCCCCTCCCCCCCTCAATTCCCCCCTCCCCTCCCCCCCTCAATTCCCCCCTCCCCTCCCCCCCCTCAATTCCCTCCCTCCCCTCCCCCTCAATTCCCTCCCTCCCCCCTCAATTCCCCTCCCCCCTCAATTCCCCTCCCCCCCTCAATCCCCTCCCCCCTCAATTCCCCCCTCCCCCCCCTCAATTCCCCCCTTCCCCTTGTAGGCGTCTCCCTCGCCTACATTCCTCACACCCACATTCTTCTCATTGAAATCCCCCTCCCTTCCCCCAATTTCAATCCCCATTAACCCCCCCCCCCCAAAAAAAAAAAATCCTTTCCCTCAAATCTTTTCCCCTTCCACATGACCAACTACTCGCCTAGTTGTACTTGCTTGTTGCGGGGGTTGAGCTTCGGCTCTGGTCCCGCTTCTCATCTGTCAATCAACTGGTGTACAGGCTCTTATTTCTACATTTGAAACTGTTTGGAATCAGCCTCCACCACATCACTGCCTAATGCATTCCATTTGTTAACTACCCTGACACTGAAAAAGTTCTTTCTAACGTCCCTGTACGGCCGGGCCGTACACTAAATAACACTTAAGGAACACAAAATAAGTGTTAAGTCTGCGCGCGCACACACACAATGCTCTCTTCTGCCATGTTAGGGATTCTAATCACCCTATTGATTGATCTTCTAAAATAATCTTTCCTCCCTCTTCTCTTCACAGATGCAGACTTGTTGAAAACTCTGATAACACAACATTCCCTGATAACACAACATTCCCTGATAACACAACATTCCCTGATAACACAACATTCCCTGATAACACAACATTCCCTGATAACACAACATTCCCACCATGAACCTTAGGCCTGGCTATTAACTTTCACAGTACTTACTCAAGTGCTCTAACCTTCCTAACAAATGTGACCTGACGTAAGCCTACCCCATTTTCTTTCCTCTTCTTACCTATCCCATTCTTTCACTCTTATTATTACACCCATTTCATTCATACCTTTTGCATTAGTCTTACCTTCTGGGAGTTACCTTCTTCTCTTACCTGCTCCACACCTCACTCTTGTCTTTCTTCAACTAGTGTGAAGGGAAAAATCCTTCCTATGTGATTATTGCAGTTGAGTAACACATTTATTTATTAAAAATGGGATCAGCTATTATTGCTGTGGTTTTAAACAATGTAACAAATTGGAAAGATAAAAGTTCAGATATTGAAGGTCCATAAAATGCTAAGAAATCAAACCATCTACAGTAGCAGGAAAAGATATCTCTGAAAACTTGATAATCACGAATGAATACAAGTTGCCTTCCAATGCAGGCATTGGAAGTTGATACAATATAACATTAGTATATAAGGTATAGTACAATACTAAATTAGATAAAGCTGGAGAATAATACTAAACAAACAATTTCAACAATGAGAGTTTTGATGAGGGGGAAAGGGGGGGGGGGCAATAAACATCCAATTGGTCTCAAGTGCCATAACTCCAACAAGAGGAATAATACAATTGCTGATGCATATAAAAATCTGCTTGAAATATGTTCCTTTGGTAAAGATCAAAAAGAGCACAGATGAGACACTACACGAGGAAGAAAAAAAAAAAGAAATGAAATGCTTAAGTAGGCACGAATATCCCAGTAATGTAAATATAATCTAAACGAAGATTGAACAAATCGAACAAGACCCGAAGTTCATATCAGGCTAAAGAAATGCAAATAGAACAGAAAGCCATGCAATAGATGGAAAAAACAAAATTTGAAATATTCTTTTTGCATACAAAATAAAATATAAAAATGCGCCCTATCAGTATTGGACCTATACTCACGGGAGAAGGTTCACACGTAGAGATTGAGACAGTATGAGGTTAAGTGCAATCCCCCAGTGAAAAATGTGAGTAAGAGATGCAGTCGTCTTGAAACATACAACAGCGTATGTTTCAGTAACATAATGGGCTAGTTATAACATAACGGCCTAGTATATAACATAACTAGGCCTCAGTTGCAGCCATTTGTTGCTAAAGAGGAAAATGCAACTCCAATGCACTTATTGAAAATTTTTGAATAATTAATTCCTGTTAAAGACTTTGGTCAACATCATTATTACTAGAATTAATAATATCAGAAAATATGGCATTGTTGTTTGTTAGAAATAAAACAAACAAATATGAACTTTTGTAAAATTTCATGGCAAGTTCTGTATAAGCTTAAATCTTGTTTGTTTCTATGATATTAAATACATTGGAAATGCAGTATTAGTAACTCGGTACCCAGTATATGGGTACAGTATAGTTACTTATACAGTACCATGTTTTCTATTAGAAAATGTAGTAGAGATGCTTTTTTTCCAGGGTAAGTGCTTTTACCATAAAAAATGTAATTTTACCTAACAAAATTTGCAATCTACATGTCAATATGGGGCCAATGTTACCTATTCTTCAATTACATGATTTAATTTTCTTAAAATATTGGGCGTCCCCACTGTACAAAAATTAACCCTCTTGAAAAACAAATAAATCATTTAAATATTGCATGCCTAGTAGTACAGTACTTTTCATAAATGATTTACATTTACAAATATTTGTATTGTGCTGTACTATCACTGTAGAAAAGGGACATCATATGTAATAAAATAAGTAACAACGAATAACTCTGAAACACATTACGAAACTATTGGCAACCATGTTGTTTCCTCTTTGCTGTACATGGGCAGGAAATAAATAAAAAAAAAAAAAAAAAAAATCCACCACCACCCAATCAATCTCAGAGAAACAGACAGAAAATGTTAAGTTTATTTTTAGGCATTTCATAGTTTGTATCATGAAATTAACATGTTAATTTTGTTTAAGAACATGGTTCAGTACTTAAAAATAATAATGGTATCAGGAGATACCCTTGTGGGATTGACACACGTGGATGATAATGCAGTATAGTATTTGATATTTTTTACAGGATGTATGCCAAGATTTACAGATTTTTATATTGATTCTAATACTATATTCTCTCTTGACAGGATGCACGCAAAAATGCACTTGACACGACACTGGTCCAGGCCACAGCTGGCATGGACCCTATTGGCCGAATTCAGATGCGAACCCGGAGAACGCTTAGGGGACACTTAGCCAAAATATACGCCATGCACTGGGGATCCGATTCTAGGTGAGTACCTGGGGGTTTCCCCAAATTTTTTCTCCATCACCATTGTTTCCAATTAGTAACAGTACTTCTTGTATGTCTTTCCTCTCCAAATATTTGTTAAAAACATCAAAAGGTTCAGCTGCTCTTGGGAGGGAAGTTCAACCCTTCCTCCTAATAGAATGTTGCATTTTGACATATTGTATACTGTGCCCAAGGGCCAAAAATCATTGTACTAGAAAATGGTAGCAGCTCACAAAATTGACACGGTTCCATTTTCTGTTTTGGGTCCTCAGGTAGGTTAAGGTTAGGAGAGGCACTTTAGTACGACGGTTTCTCGACATTGGAAAACCTTAGGAGGATGGGCTGGAGAGGTTATCAATTGATTATGTGGCAGGTGTAACACTAGTTATTTGAAGTTGTAATGATCATTGTACATAGTGGGAACTGCTTCCATGAAGGGTGGATGGCAGTGAGTGTTTACACGAGTCAGGTGTTGAGACTATATATAGATGGGGGTTATCTTGGCTCTGCTAGCATCTCCAGTATTAGCAGGTGAACAGGAAGGGGTTCATGTCCTCCTCCTCCTCCTCCTCTAATCCTTAGGAGTGTGCAATGCAGAAAGGTTACAGCTCAAATAGTTCAAAATGCTAAAAGGATTTGATGCACTATCTAAATAATATTTCTGACTACAGTTACACTTCATTGGTAGTCCCACTACTTTGTCTTTATTTAAGGCTTGCCTCTCTTCCTTCTGTTATTCATCATTAAGATCCTAGTATTTGCCAAAATGCCAAATTTGGGCTATAGTATGGTTAGTGAGGAATTTTCCACTAGCAGGTTCACTTTGTGTGTGGTCAGCTGGTAATTGATGACAGTTTTGGCATGTTTTGAGTTTTGTCAAATGTTGGTGGTACTGTTTTGGGGACTGAATCATAGTGGGATTCGGACTGTTAGTGTGCAACAATGTTCCACCCTCGACAACATTTTTTTTTTTTTTCTTTTCTTGTTTTTTTTTTTTTTTTTTGTAAAGGTTTTTGTTATCCAACCTGATATTTTTCTTGCAGCTGTCACAGCTACTGTATTGTGTTCTTTAAAAGTAGGGTTTTCTGGCAAGATTACTCCGAAGACTTGTGCATTGCTTTTTCTGTCAATGTGGTTTGACTGCATTTCGTAATATGGTTTCAATTTTCGTGTTTCCCATAGTGAGAAACTGGAAGTTGTCCTCATTAAACGTCATTGTTTTCTGTGGCCCATTGAAAGAGCTGATTAACACCAGATTGGAGGTATGCTGTCCTATATTGCCTATTCTCATGAAAATCCTTGTCATCTGTAAAAGATGACACTACTAGTATTATGGTTCATATCCTTGTCTGTCTGATATGAGGATAGGAAAATGTTCTGGAATACCTCTGTAATCACAGCGCCTTGGGGGACAGGTTTTCTCGGTGGATGATTCGGATTTTATTTTGTTGACTATTACACTCTGGCTTCTGTTTGTTAGGAAGTTAATCTACTGGTACTGTGTGTGTGTTTCAGGTAAGGATTTTGGTTTGGCCCTTTTTAGAATGCTTAATGTAATGTTAAGTTCAATGTTGTTGTTTTTTTTACAAAAGTACCACTTTACTAATAAAGAAAATAATTGATAAAAAAAAATACATTTGTGGCAGCACTCAAGGGGATGGGCACTTTCAGCAATTCCACCCAAGGAAGGCATTCCTCTCAAGCCTTTAGTAATCAGATACTCTTTATCTTCTCCCTCCCATTCCTTTGCACTCTTCCCTCCCTCCCTCCCTCCCCCTCCCTCCCTCATTTCACCTTCCTCCCCTCACTTTACCTCCCCCCCCTCACTTTACCTCCCCCCCCCCTCACTTTACCTCCCTCCCTCCCCCTCACTTCACCTCCCTCCCTCCCCCTCACTTCACCTCCCTCCCTCCCCCTCACTTCACCTCCCTCCCTCCCCCTCACTTCACCTCCCTCCCTCCCCCTCACTTCACCTCCCTTCCTCTCTCCCCTCACCTCACCTCCCTCCCTCTCTCCCCTCACCTTAGAACAATGACTAACACTAGCGTGCCACTACCTCCGACTCCTCCTACATCCCCTTCCCTCTACCTGCCTTGCCCAACCATAACAGTATCACTCCACACTCTTGGAATGTGGTTTTGCCATCAGCTCTTCCCTCTCTCCCTTTTTTGCATTCCCCACCATCTTCCTGTTCTCACCCCTCTCTTTCAAAGAATAGTGAAGACGTCAAAGATCTACAAGAGTCAGATGATGTAATGTTAGTGCACAATAAATTAAAACTCACACATCAGCCAGTCAAGTGATAGGACAAAAAAAAAAGTTACAATGATGATGGTACTTCTCAAAGCACACTGGTGCTATCTTGTTAGCATTGGTTTTCTTGGTGGTTCTGAGGATCAATGTCCACCACAGACCAGTTTCTGACCAGGCCTCTTGGTTGGTTGGTGGTGTGGTCAACCAGATGACCATTCAGGACCTCGGCAGACTGTTTTGCAGGTGATGAGTCACAATAACGTGGCTGAAGGAGTTTGACCAGACCACACACTAGAAGGTGAAGGGACGACGACGTTTCGGTCCGTCCTGGACTATTCTCAAGTAGATTGTGAATGGTCATTCTCAAGATGATCACAATCGACTTGAGAATGGTCCAGGACAGACCGAAATGTCCTTATCCCTTCACCTTCTAGTGTGTGGTCTGGTCAAATAGGCTGTTTTGTGAATTGCAGCTTGGTTGATCAGGTAACCTTTAGAGGTGTTTAATTAAGTTATCATTTAATTACCGAGGGGAGGGCTAGTCTTGTGTGTTAAGAGGTATGGTGTTAAGTCTTAGGCCTTAATATTTGTAGCACACAGGTGCTATTTTGCAAATTCTGCCATGCCTCTAGGTCTTGTAAATGTGTTCAGATTTGAAACCAGTCCTTCTGATATTTTCCTTGAATAAATTTGGCGAAATCTGTACATTACATCACTGTTTGGCTAATATGCGATGGCATCTAAGGCCATGTTATAGTTGTTTTCTAGCATTTGAAAGGGGCAGAAGAATTCTGCTCTGAACCCGTGTCAGTCAGGATAATGCGGATGTTGAATCGTGTGTCGTGATTTTTGTGTGATGTTAGTACGGCAAGTCCCTAATTTCTGGGAGGATCCCTGGTGACTCCCTGAAGCTATCTCACTGAGATTCCTCCCCACTACTGGGTCACATCAGGTGCAGAAGTTTGGCCTGTGGTTACCAGTACCTGAACCTGGCCCCTCAATGATGCATGAAGCAGGGTGTGATTATCTCCACCTGCACCAGGAAAACATCCAGAAAATTGGTAAAACTTTAGACTTCTTTAGGGTACATAGAAATAAAGCATCAGAACAGTCAAATGACTGCAAAATCAGGCTGCAAGCAGCCACATCCAACAGCCTGAGTGACCAGTCTAGCAACCAGGAGGCCTGGGCGTGAACGTTGAGCCCAAAATCATCGCAATGCAACTGCAAGGTAAGAGCATTGTAAGAGGAAACAGTGTGTGTGTTACAGATAAACCAAGATAATCCAACGAAGCATGAACCTGGAACATGCCAATATTATGCATGGGGAGTATGTAAATATGGGCTTTCAGATAGAAATACAGTAATGGAATGTGCACAAATAAATGCTAGAGGAACTGCTGAAACATCCTAAATACAGGCACATGTCACTCTGAAAATTGCACATTTTTCCATCCAAAACTGTGCAAAAATTCACTTAACGTGAAGGTTTTAACAGCAGACTGCCAAGCATTTCATATCAAAGTAATCGACAGCAACACCCATATATACCATGGAGATTTTTTGGTAAGAGAAAGGTAAAGAATAGCCAGAATTGTCAAAACTTTATCATCAACTCTGTCCAGTGTTAGACAGGACACAGTGTGGCTTCCCTACCAGAACCACATATATTAACACCAAGTAAAATCCCCAGCACTTCAACTAAGGATATCTTTTGTATTTGCCATCATACAAGGTATCAAAACATGCAATATAAAAGTCCACTTTTATATTGATGGGATATGCCTCCTAGATGCCTTATAGATGAGGCAAATGGAATGTTAGCAGTTTTAACTGAAACTCATAAAATCTACTACTGTATTATGACAGTGAGACATGGATTCGAGAATTCAATACTTTGAGTTAACTACAGGGTGGGGTTAGCCTGTACATCAAAGACACATTCATCTGCAGAGCTGCTAAACACCTACACCACAAACAGACGTTGGTGAGGAGATGGAGACCTGCTGCTGTGCACATTTTGGGTACAAACATTTGGAAGATGAGGGCAGCGATGGCTGTCTTTCCTGAATATCCCCATACGAGGTGGCACGCTGCCGTTTGGTTGGGTAAGCAGCTGGTGCTGCAGCCCTCCGCTTGGTAATACAGGTACTATGTACACCACTACCACTTGCCACGGGAATGCTACCACCACTCTGACTCCACATCACTAAATAGTGAAAGTCATCTTCAACATGTTCATGGTTTTTAGGAACATCGTGGAAGACTCGCAAGGCAGGTCTGTTGATGAAGTGAAGGAGTATACCTTACCCTCAGGACAGTAATGTGTTTGCGTATATCATCACTGTCTGTATCACTTTTACTGTACTGGTTCCCTGGACATACTCCTCAAGATCAACAAGTGGATGTGCACTGAAAATGAAGTTGTGGAAGACACCTTCATCCACAACTTGAAGGCCAAATTCTACAAAGATTTCAACCATCAAAATAGCTTAATTAGGAGGGGTTCGACCTCGCTTCTCTGATAGATGCAAGATACAAGCCCCCCCACCACCCACCTCTTCACCCCATCCCCATGTATCTTGATATACTATACTATGTTTAATCAACCTTTACTGTGGTGCTATTGAACTTGGATTGAAGCTGTCACAAGTCAAACCTGGCCTCGGGCCAGGCTTGGGGAGTAGAACAACTCCCAGAACTCCCAACAAACCTTGGCCTTATCTCTCCAAATTGCAGGCAATGGGTCACAATAATGTGGCTGAAGTATGCTGACCAGACCACACACTAGAAGGTGAAGGGACGATGACGTTTCGGTCTGTACTAGACCATTCTCAAGTTGATTGTGAGAATGGTCCAAAATGGACCGAAACATCGTTGTCCCTTCACCTTCTAGTGTGTGGTCTGGTCAACATCAACCTCTCAAAATTATTTTTTGGTTGAGTGATAAAAATTGATGGTGGTTCAATTGGTGATGCCTTACCTTGGGATTAGGTCACAGAATATGGTATATTATTGTATATATCGAGCAATGGATTAGTGTTGAAGATAGTTTGTTACAGTAAGGAGTGCCAGTTTTCCACGATAGCAGGGAATGGCAATTTTTCTTTCTGCAACTGCACCCCACTATAGCAGGAAATTTGTTAGTTTTTGGTGGACATTAGTATGACTTCATTCATACTATTTCCTAGATAAGAAACAAAGGAAACCTCAGAAGGTCCATACAAGGTAGTTTGTATTTATATCCACCCAAACTTATTCATATATTTCTAACCTATGCTTCAAACAATTAAACAATCCCATATCTATAATGTTACCTGGTAATGTGTTCCACAAATCAACCACCATATTTTCAAACCAGTGTTTACCTAGGCATTTATTAAATTTTAACCTATCCAATTTCTATCCATTGTTTAATGTTGTATTTTGTTGGCACTGTTGAAATCTTATTAAATAGCCCCACTGTTAGACCGTCATCCATTTGTTCATAACCAATTTTGTGTTAACCAGTGTTAGCTACATGTTCCATTTTAGGTTTTAATTGAAATCACTCGGCAACATGGTTACAGTATTGGGAATGTATTTAGATATGTTTTCCCAGGCAATGTTTGAATTTTATCAATTGGTCTTAAAATTGTCGAGTATTTGAATAGAGTTATCATATGTTATGTACATAAGGAAAACGATTAAATGATGGTCTCCAAATTTAACCAAAATGTCATACAAGGCGTTGAGGAGTGCATTGCAACATACTTTTAATTAATGTTGAGGCCAACCCCCATCCTAACTCTCCAGTTTCAACGCTGGTCTTCCCATGGCCCAGCCATGTGCATTTCATTCACTTTGTGCCAAAATAAATTGTTCTCTGTCCTTTATGTTAATGAACCTAAAATTCATGAAGCATTACATTTATTAATTAAATTAGCCATTGTTCTAGTGCACTGTTCAAATACTGTAAACTTTAGCGTATGAATATTACCTACATTTACTTTTATAATATGAAATACTTATGGCCATGCTGCACGTCATGTTTTATCCTTAAGATCTATAACTAAGCATTATGTTTTTTGGTTATAAATGTGGTTTCGAGGACCATATGCCCATACGAAGTCTAGAGTCGATTGTACCTATTAATCTATAAGTGCCCATAACTTAATTGAGTTATGGAAAATGTGTTGTCCAGCAGATTGTTGCATTTAATGTTTACATGTGCATTACATACTTGAATAAAATTATTTTTCTTGGCAATTTTGTATTGGTCATAATAGTATGTCTCAATTTTTGTCTTCAGGAATTTGGTGTCGGCATCTCAAGATGGCAAGCTTATAGTGTGGGACAGTTACACAACAAACAAGGTGCATGCCATCCCCCTTCGGTCCAGCTGGGTCATGACCTGTGCCTATGCTCCCTCAGGCAGTTACGTTGCCTGTGGTGGCCTTGATAATATCTGTTCCATATACAGGTATGTCAGTGCCTATGGCTCGTTTACCTTGGCCTTTAGTCTAGTGTGTTAGACACTTAACCCTTTAATCATAAGAAAATTTTTTTTTACAATATTTGTTTTGATACTTGTTAGGAAAATAGTAAGAATTCCAATATCTAATTGTAGTATATGCCATAATTTCTTGATTTTTAAGCCTAATTTGCCATGTACATTTCCAATCAGGAAAAAATCAATTATGGCTTAAGTTAAAAGCACATGTTATGTTTTAGTGGTTATGAAGGAAATCTTCTGCTTGTATACATTTTGTAAAGAGACGATATGAATGTTGTCTTGATCTTAGGTTAGAAAAGATTAGTGGGGGGATAATTAGCAAGTGTGAACTGACAGGGTAGGGACAGGGCTGGGTGGAAGTCAATTAAGGAGAGAATGAATGTATTAGCTTGTGTATATGGCCATTGATAAGGAGTACTGCATTTCAGTACTGACGTAACAGTACAGTACTTTCAGAAAGCCGTACTGAAGAGGAGTATGGCTTTCTGAAGCAATTGGGTGTTGCTGATGTGGTTACCTATAGAATAATGTCCATCTACTGTGCTGTGAAGAGTTTGAAGAATAGATGAGTTTTGTTTTATAATTAATCTAAGCCCTGGAAGCACCTCAAGGTAATGTCTTGTCATTTTACCATTATGCACCTTCCTTCCATGCCAATACCTCCCGAACGGATGAAAATAGGACAGGGGAGGAGGGGGGGATAATGAGTAATCCATGTAAATTAGAACACATTAGTCAAGTCTTGAATTAAAGTAAACAAAAATGTTTAGAATGAGTAGAAACTGGATATAGGCAAGTCAGGGATGTATGGAATTTCTCTTTCCCTACAAGTGTACAGCAAGAGGAATGCTTTGGAGGTGGTGGTTAAGCCAATTCCATCCACAATTTTAAGAGAAAAAAAATGTTGTTGAGAGAAAATTAGCATGGTCAGGTATAGTTGGCTAGGAGGTAGGGAATAAAGAATTAAATCTTGCTCCCATGTAGTTTCTGATACATAAGTAAGCACCGCAAAATAGACATAAGGTGGGTAGATTACTAGGATAATGCACCGGCATTTGCTAATATTAATATACACCCAATTACTCATACTATAAACTTAAATTTCTGTATATAATAACCTTTTTAACAAGTCCTTATGTGCTCGTTACTTTACCGTTTGGTGTGCTTTCTCAACCAAAGCCCATGAAAGCTGTTTACAACTTATATTTCTAGCTAGCCATTACCACTAGCTGTCACAATGCAAATATTTGGTCTAAGTAACCTCTTTCACCAAGAATTTCATTTTCCGCTCAGGGAAAGTGCATTTCCTTCGAATGCACTTTCACTACCGTAATTTGTACAATTTCCAGCTAAATAGTCTTTCTGGCTTGGTATCTTCTTTTGATAAGTAATTATTTCCAACTCAGTAAAACAACATAATGTTTATAAAAGGATATAGTACCATCTTTTCCTCCTCAACCATTCCCATTATTTTGCATGCTCCACTTTCCATGCTACTGTATCTGGAAAATTTTGTACAGTTTTCTCATTTCTTGTTCTCCACAGCACTTCATAATTCCTGCATTTTCTTTATCAGTTCTTGGAATTTTTCCATCCATCAGCATTCTCTTCCAGGGATATGGCCTTTTTCTGGCAACCAAACCTTTTACATTCTTTTAATTTTTCATAATGTCAACAAGTCAGACTTTCAGATTACTTTGAACTGTTTAAATCTTTCCTTCATGTGTGTCTAATGTATATATATTGACTTTTCCACCAGTCTTGCTGAAAGAGTAAGTGCTAAATAGTCCCACAAAATTTAGGGACAGACTAAGTTAAATGAACAAACATAGCAACACCTTTGAAGGCACGATACTTTCAGCTTGCTGCCACCAATTGTAAGTAATTCTGGGCTACAGATTGTATACACGGAAGGTTGTATACAGACATAAGCATGCATCTTCAACGTGTCCATGATAAGTCTCCACGTTGGAGTGCAATCTCATGACTTGAGCTGTCATCACTATTATGGGCCATGCTGGCCTTATAATCCGCCAGGAAACCAGTCCTATGACATAGCTATGCACAGTAAATAGTCTCCACAGTACAAGCTGAAGTACTTACCTGACTATTAGCTTTATTTTACATGTTATTGGGTAAGTAGTTTTCTAATGTTTGTTGCAGACAATGAGTCACAATAACGTGGCTTAAGATATGAAGATTAAACCACACCAGAAAATGAGACGACGACATTTCGGTCCGTCCTGGACCATTATCAAGTTGATTGCGTTTGTTATATATTGATAATATTGTTATATTGATTGATAATGTTTGTTACTGATACTTACTCCATCCACAGCCTAAAGACAAGAGAAGGCAATGTGAGAGTGAGTAGGGAGTTGCCTGGTCACACTGGTTACCTAAGTTGCTGTCGGTTCGTAGATGACAACCAAATAGTCACAAGCTCTGGAGATATGACTTGGTGAGTAATAATTAAAGTACCGCATTCATTTATTTGTAGTTTTCTCATTTTTTCCCTTTAAAGTTGTTAGCTATAGAAGTACACTTGTTAATTATTTTTAATAATTATTTTGCTGTATTTCTTTGCTTTTTAATAACAATTCTGACTATGTAAATTGTATTTTTACTGTCTCACAGTATATCTGATACTATTTAAATAAATGGGCAAGTATGGTCTTTTAGAGGAGGGTAGACAAGTACAGTCTGTTGCATTAGTGATGTCTTTGTTTTGATAAATGTGTGCATGTGTGTTTTAATGTTTGATATCAGTGTCAAAACCTAGTAAATTAAAGTTAATGGGGGGGGACATTAAATCTTTAAAGCATTTTCAAACGGGTACTAATAAATGACAACAATACATTCCAGTAATGCAATAAATTATACTGTACCTGTTTACTGGAATAAAATGATACCACTTTTAATTATTGGCAGCCACGAGGTTAGCCTCTTAAAATTTGGGAAAATTGTACAATAGCACATGGGTAGAAGTTGTAAACAAAGGAATTTAGGATATACAAGGAGATACTTGCACCCTGATTAACAAGTGGAGTGGACTGAAAGAAGACACATAATTCATTAAAATAGCATCCATCTATAACTTTGACCAGATATTACAAAGAATTCTGACATTGTTATAGTTGAAATAAAGTACAACAGGTACAAGAATTCTAGTACGCGGTGCATTAAAGGTAGTCTGACTTCATCTTGGTATTCACTATTAGGTAAGCACAACCTTCATCCTATACTCGATGAATCCCCCTGGAATCACTCTACTCCACTCCATGTACTCGTTAAGCACACCTCTCTTTTCATACCCGATGGATAATGATGGACTAAGTGTATTTGTCTTGATATATTAATCTCAATTTCCATAACAAAGTTCGAGATTCATATGGTCAAGGTAATTTCAGCAGCCTGATATTTATACGGTATTAGCTTGTCTTGTATTGAGTTTTACTTGCATAGCTGTAGGCCTGGTAAGCTATATACAGTATACACTGACCAATTCATTTTCTCTATTGCTTATTAAGTGCCTTAGTCATGATTAGTCTATTATACCTTTATCTTGCCTTCATGTCAAACATTTTATGTCATACACCTGCAAACTCTGCACATAGTTGGTATGTTGGGGACAGCAAATTTTCTGTGGTGGTTACTCTAAATAATTATTACATTATACTTTTGCATATGTTTGAGGGCATACTCAAATGTTAGAAGCTATGTTATGTGAAAAAAAATAAGTAAGTCTGCAGTGTAGAAAATCTGGTCCCCTTGATCACTAATGTATGTAGCTGCATATGCCAATTGAAAACCGAGGCATCTAGATCGTTATACTTTGCCTTTAATAGTTGCATATTAAAATATCAATACCAACACTGCCCCTGTCAGCAGAAAACTTGTATAGCTTGTTCTTGTGACCTTTTGTTGGGAAGTAATTAGTAGTTACTAGTAATCATTTTTCTCTCATCTGCTTCAACATGATTAGTACTGCTATACATTTCTCATAGTCAACATATAAAGTATTATCAACAAAATTGTAAGAAATTGAGGGTAATTCTCTTCCTCTTCCTATCAGTCAATTAATGGCATTTTTCTCAGTGTAAAGAAAGTATAGTACTGAGAAAACTGTTGAATGAGGCAGTGTGGGTCTCCACAGATGCAAGTCATTATTGTACACACAACGGTTTGCCAAATATTTTAAAACCTACCTAACCTAATCTTGCCTAAAGAAACATAATCAAAGCTAATACATCTTAACCAAACTATACATACACTTTTGACAATCGGAAAACAAGCTGTCGAAAAGCCTTCTGGAAGATTTGACCAAACCTCTCATTCCCTGGTGGGCTCATGCAGAGGTTTTTGTATAATACTTCACCACGTGGCTGCCATGTGGACGTTTCAGCATCCTGTTCGTAATACTGTGGATGCTCCGACAGGTTCGGTTAATGATTGATGGGGGAACTTGTGAGTGCGTTTTGATGGACAAGTGTTGTATAAAAGGTGTTCATATAACAGGGACCAATTCTAATGGATTCCAGTAACTCAAATTAATTTGTGTCCATTTTCTAGTAAACTGGGTTATCCCAAACTGGGTTGGGGTATAAAATTTTTTTTTTTTTTTTCTATGCACAATTGCTTTTGTGGTGTTGCTTCTATAACCTTAATCTACATCAAGCAAACATTTCCTCTACAGAATTTTTGTTCATATTTTTTACAATATCTTTGAAATAAAATTAATAGCTCTTTTTTTTTTTATTTCAGTGCTCTTTGGGATATTGAAACTGGTCAGCAGTGCACACAATTTACAGGACATACTGGGGATGTGATGTCCCTATCTTTGTCGCCAAACATGAGGACCTTCACATCGGGTGCCTGTGATGCCTCGGCAAAGTTGTGGGATATCCGTGATGGCATGTGCCGCCAGACTTTCCCAGGACACGAATCAGATATCAACGCAGTAACAGTAAGTTACACACGTTACATAGCTGTAAAGTCAACTTCTGGAGACAAGTGTTCAGTATACTAATAGGGAACCGGTTGGCCGAGCGGACAGCACGCTGGACTTGTGATCCTGTGGTCCCGGGTTCGATCCCAGGCGCCGGCGAGAAACAATGGGCAGAGTTTCTTTCACCCTATGACCCTGTTAACTAGCAGTAAAATAGGTACCTGGGTGTTAGTCAGCTGTCACGGGCTGCTTCCTGGGGGTGGAGGCCTGGTGGAGGATCGGGCCGCGGGGACACTAAGGCCCCGAAATCATCTTAAGATAACCTCAAGATATACCTGAAGATTGTCTCAAGTGCTTCTTTTCCATTTGTAATACTGTTTATAGCTTCTCATATTAATTTTCTTCATTGATTTTTATTGCACATTGGTGTATAAATGCCAAAGAGCACTTATGAATTAATATTTCATAAGAAAATATTATATGTATCGAGTTTGTCGAGGTATTGAGGGCAATTTTGAAGAAAACTAGATTTAAATATTTGCCTGAAATTACTTTTTGATTTTATATAATGTGAGGTGGTTCTAGGGAACGGTGTCGTGACTTGGACTTGGACTTGGACAGGTGGAACTTCAAGTAAACTCTTTAATAGTTTAAATTACAAATTTGCTAGGAGACTGGAGAGCTTCACAACACGTTTCAAAAACTGAAGTGACTTTCTCAGAAATGTATGGCTAGTTAAAAATTAAACCCCCCCTTTGCATTTATTGAGTATAATAATTTAATTTAAATTCACCATACATACAGCCAGGTGAAGTCTAGATCGACACATTACTTTTTTTATATACAAGTAATATTGGCAGAATAATTTGTTTTCTGATGAGTAAATTAGCGAGTCAGGTATATCTTCAATGGCCCATGCGTTGGAGAAAAGCAGCCTAAGCCAGCAGAATAGGTGCAGAGGTTGTGCCACAGCACTCGTGGTGACTACTGCAAAACAAGAATAGCCTCTCGTCTCAGGCTAGGGAGGTGGGGTGGCACCCAGTAAGACTAATCATACACATGAAGGTTACAGTGCAAGTGTATTTTAATTACCTAGATAATATATATATATTGTATCAATAGTATGGTACAATACTGTATATTGTATCAATAGTAAGGTACTATATATATATTTTTGTTCATCACTGAAACGATATTTTTCATTCGATAGACTTTATGGTTGCTTCAGAATCTTAGATAAATCAGTTTACTATTCATACTACTTGGTTATGAACTCTTAATTTTTCCCTAGTACATTTTCTCCTAAATACTTAATTTCCAATGAAATCTACCAAAGATCTTACCTAATTTAAAATGCTTGTTTCTTTATACAGTTCTTCCCTAATGGGCATGCATTTGCTACGGGCTCAGACGATGCCACCTGCCGCTTATTCGACATTCGTGCAGATCAAGAACTGGCCATGTACTCTCATGATAACATAATCTGTGGCATCACATCAGTGGCATTCAGCAAGTCTGGCAGACTTCTGCTGGCTGGTTACGATGATTTTAACTGCAATGTTTGGGACTCCATGAGGACAGAAAGAGCTGGTAAGTCTTTTTTTAATTGACTCTTAGTCATATTGGTATTGTCCTATTTAAAAGTACAGTACTTGTTCTTGAAATACACTAACTAATGTAGACACATGAGGAAAAGTTGGAAGTGTTAAATTAATGGGAATTTTAAATGGTAATTATATAGCGGGTGTGTTACATGTAAAAGGAAAACAACAAAAGAATTTCTTACTAAAGGTAATGTGGAATCTCTGGGAGCCAGTGAGCACTGCATTATAGTATTAATAAGTGAATAAATCAAAAGGTACATCATCTGGAGGGGGGGAGGGGCTTTACGAGACATGCCAGAGATTGGACTACTCTGTGAGGGCAGGTTAAGTTAATTAAATTTTATGACATTTTGCTACTTTCTCCCTCTTCTAATATGCCATGTAGAACAGGCCATGAGGGGCATTTACATTCATGTCTTTAATAGCAAGCAGTGAAAATTACTGCACCTTCCAAATGTACAGTTTCACTTTGCAGCAGCTGTGGTTTCATTTTTCTCTGGTGTTTGTTCCCTTTGGCACACCTCTATTCCTGAGTCATCCTCCGTTCTCTTTCCTGTTTCTTAGCTCTGTGTGTGTGTGTGTGTGTGATGTTCCTTCCAGGGTTATCAGTTTGCAGGCTGTGGCCTGTCCCTGAACTGTTTGTGATGTCTTGCTTTGGGTATTGAGCCCTTGCCAGTGGGCTTTATACACTTGTGGCAGAAGATAACCATGTATGGAGTTAGACTGTAATGTTAATGCTGTTTAGTTGTCATTTAGGACTGTCATTGTTGCAGCTGTTATTGGCTGTGGCTATGCTGTAACAACAAATTGTCTTAATCCGATTAATTTTTTTGCAGGAGTTTTGGCGGGCCATGACAATCGCGTCAGTTGCCTGGGTGTTACAGAAGATGGCATGGCAGTGGCCACTGGCTCGTGGGACAGTTTCCTCAAGATCTGGAACTAAGCTAGTCCCATTACCACCACCACCACCACTCCAGTATCAACATCAGTATCTTCTCAAGGAACCAAATTCCCTCTCCAGGATACACAGTCAAGAAGCTTGGTGTTTGCATGCCTGCGTGTGTGTCTGTGCAGCCCACGCTTATGGTAACACCACTCATTGCTTCATAGCCACCATTGGTATGGGTCACTCAAGTAGTTGTATACCGAGTAAGCATGCTTGGTGGACTCGAGTGGATCTTTCTTTTTCATTTTTTGATATGGAAAAAATTAGATGAGTCAGTGTAAATGAGTTAGTGAGAGTGGTAAATATATTGGATAAAACATTAGTGTTGACAAATGACGAGGCCCATGGGATAGTGGACACAAGTGCATCTGGCACAACACTTAGACAAGTCTGATCAACAGGAAAAGAAATAGGGTAATTTCTTCAGTGCTTGATGTCCTCCAACCTTTGGGCCCTAATGGCTGTGACCCAACGATGGTGGCGACAGCACACACGCAGAAGCCAAGGTGGCGCTGGCTCACGTGCAGCCAGCTTGAAGATGGTGAAGATGATCACAAGCATCACACCAGTGGTGGGGGCTGCTGGACCCACCTGGGTTCAGCTCTCCCATCATTCTCTTCCTTTGATGTCTAGTCAGCCTGATGGAGTTGCTGCATGACTTTGATGCTGAGTGTTTCAGTGGAAGCGGCGGTGGCCGGCGCATTATCTCCACCCCTCCGAAATGTGCGGGCGAGCAGGCACCGACAGACCTCCTAGCTGGAGCTTGGCAGGTCCCTGTGGTGGCGGTGGCAGGTTGCCAGGACACCACGCCTGGTACTGTCACTCCTCCCTCCCCCACCCCTCTGCTCCTGCCGCTGCTGCTGCTTGCCACGTGGATGAGTGAAGACTGCACCTGTATCGGCCACGCCTGATGCTCAGGTCAGGGCTGAGGGGTAAGCCCAGGTGAACGCTATGGTAATGTGTTCATAATGCCTTAAGGCAACCTCTACACTCCCTCGTGTCAGTGTGGAGAAAAGTGAGGTGCTTGAGTAAGACAAAATTTTGTCATGTTCCCTGCTCCACTGCTGCTTCTTGCGCGCATGTTCTGCTCTTGTCAGGCCAAGCACCCATTGATGGATTCATCTAACAGGGGAATGCTATTATCCTTATTGGGACCACGTGGTGATAGTGTAAAATTGGAATCGTTCAGAGAAGCTGAAATCTTTGATACAGTTACCCTTCCTGCATATGATTATGAGCGTGCACTTAGATTTTGGATTTAAGTGCCATTTTCATGGTGACCTCAACTGCCAATGTAGTTTTAATTTGGGCAATTCTTAGTTAGATAACAAACATTTGTACTCCCTCAAGCTAATCCAAATCTGAAAATCATATTGCTTTATTCAGTCTTCTTAAGATGGTAATCAGTGAAATATTTCCATGATAGCTTGTTGCATTAGTGTAGCCCCAGAGCTAAAGTTATCTCTTTCATAAAAAGAAACCTTGCATTGGACTCCTCAAGCTGGAGCACATCACATAACTATCACTGTTGGTATCTGTATTGACTTTTGTTGGGTTATATTACTGCATTTATTTATCTTGTAATAAACATCTGTGATGCCAAATGTGCTGAAGGGCAGTCAAAAGTCTAGTTGGAATGAGTGTTGATAAGATTACTGAAAAGAAATTCTGAATGGCTTTAATTGAGTTCAGTGACAAATTGCTCAGATTGCATTATATGTAGAAAGTGATACAAGTTCATAGATAAACTTCCTCTAAAAAAAAAGCACTGCTCTGCTATGAAATATGGAAAAAAGATTAGAATACAATGTAGTTCTATTTTGTACCCCATTGGAATAACATGTTAAATGGTTTAAAGGTAGAGGGGAACTGCTCCTAGGTATGTCCACCTACTTAAAGAGCGTAAAATATTTTCAAGTTACGCACAAGTATTAGTAAGGAGAAAGCACAAAAGGGTAATTTTCCTGGTTGAATCTGTGACATTGGTGGACACGAAGAACAATCCTAGCTCAATTCTACTGCTGTAATTATTTTTGGCCCATACCTCCTGTGTGTCAGAACCCAATCAGCTGCAGCTTTCTCTGTACCCCATACAACCTTTTTCATTTTACCCTCCTCCCAGTTTCCTTCTGTGGCTGCCCAATTCCCCCATAAATGTCACAAGAAAGCCTAGCTTTGTTGTGCACATGTTCAATGATTGCTGAACCAAACAATTTGAACACAATATCAGCATTTCAGGTTACCTTAAAGTTTCATGAATTATTTATCCCTTCATTTTATGTTGATTAATTGTGTATGATTATTTTGCCAAGCGGTGAGTGTCTGGCCTCTGCCCTCTCGGCATTCCCGAACAAGACCAGATAAACGGGCGTTTCAGCCTGGATCTGTCCCTGCTCTCTCCGCCACCCGGAAGCTCATAGAACAGCCAAACAATTTCTTAGTGAACATCTTTAAGAAATGCAAGGGCTCAGGGCTGTTCTATGGCCCTCTGGCTGTAGGTGGGAGCCTGTCCGGGATGGGTTTGTTTGGTCATTCGACGACAGGGTGCCAGTTGGGGTTCACCATGCACCCCTGGGGTACATTCTTCTTCAGTTGCTGCTTCCCATGCCCCTGTGTTTGTGTGCATGGTGGTGGAGAGTACCCCACCATCCACCCCTGATTCCCAGCCCAGTTCCCTGGGAGCATGACCTAGAACTCTTGCTGGCACCCAGCCCCGCGGTCATGTCTCGAGGGACTTTTAAGTGAGGCCACACACTCACTTGGATGTCCAAGTTTCTAATAAAGAATAATGGTAGTAGTTTTTTCTCAGCCAAAAACATGTGTAAAGATAAAATGGTATAAATAGTAGTCAGATTTTAAAACCCTTTTCCGGGAGTGTGAAGTGTCAATTGTAGCATTATAATTCCATAACTGTAATGATACTAAGCCAAATGGAACCCTCTCTCCAGCGCCTTAGCCAGGAGATTCCAGGTGGCGGGCGCGGTGGTGCTGGGCGGGGTGGGGCGGGCCAGTAGTAGAAGCAGCGTGGCAGGGGCCGGGCAGTCGCTCTCCACCACGACCAGCAGCGCCCAGCCCCTGCCTCAGTCCCCATGTGGGCAACGCCCGCCGTGCCCCTCCCCAACTACCAACAACACTCAGACAAGTGTGCAGCAAAGTCACTCCTGCTACAAAATTGTTATTTTACATGCAGACAATGAATTTATGTAACTTAAGCAAGGTACGATTTTTATTTCAACATGAGGTTTCTAATACCCCAGTGAGTTGTAGAAGAGTCCACCGCAGAGGCGTTACTTTTACTCGAGGCGGGCCCGTAGGCGGGTCAGCGGTAGCCACCAGACTAATGAGTGACAGTGAGATGGGTAGCAGGAGGTGTTGGGAGTGTGAGGGTGTAATGATCAACCCCTCTCATGTCCCTATCCCGCCACTGCCAGGTGCACGATGCATGACCAACGCTGCGTCGCCGCCACCGTCTATGGGACCCGCACACTGTTATATGAGGGATTTTTCAATTGATTCCAACTCCGGTTGTAGCTTATGAAGTCTCGTTTGTGAATTTGTCATGTAAGTAACTATCTGACTTGTCCAATAAAGCTATTTGTCTTTACATTTGTTGTGTCAAATTCCCTTTTTTATTGAATTGATAAAAATTATGCTTAATGTATAAAGCCCATTTCCTTCCTCTCCCCCAACCAAAACATACATCACAATTGTTCTTAATGGGACAAGCCATATGGGTGTTCGGCTGAGAGCCAATGATGTATGGGTGTTGGTCTGTAGTGAGCTGCTGTGACTTAAGCCACTAAAGAAATATCTTTACCAATTATATTAATATAAAACTGCAACGACAATAATCTGAAAGTCGTCGATGCAAAACCTAGTGAACGCTCAAAAAAAAATTGTGGCAAGACTTCTTTGCCACCTAAGCATGTTGGTTTCCCTGTAGTGGTTGGTTTTGCTTTATCCGCATTACGTTAATGATGACAAATGCTGCTACATCTTGTATTATGCACTAAAGTATAGAAAGTGGCAGTGAAATGAGTAGTGCACCTCTCCTAGTTGATCAGTACTGCACTCCTAAAATGCAAAAGACTTGGTAAAATTACATGGTGTAAATGCAATACGAGTCTTGAAGTTAGTCAAGTTAATGTATTTTAACGCCTTTTGAATATCCCGCACTTTTGATGGTGCTACATAGCCTTCACGGCTTGGTACCTTCTTTTGATAATTACTTCAAAGTTAATGTATGGAAAATGAAACATTCTGGAGTGACTAAATATGGATAACTTGTGCTGCAAGTGGTTGTCACGTACTACATAATTTCAGCACCAAAACGATTGCTTGTGATTATTGTACGTTAAAAAGAAAGAGAATTGCATAGTGTGTGTAGAGCAGCAGTTGCCAGCTATGACGATGCTTGTGAAGTAATTACTGTATTCATATTAGCCCACATTAACCTAAATGTTTGTGCTACATAGCCTTCCCGGTTTGGTGCCTTCTTTTGATAATTACTTACCTAAATGTTTTCGCGTGCAAAACTCCTTTAGATTCGTGTATGATGGAAAGTACTTAAATTAATTGTTAACATTTCATAAATTTGGGATGCAAAATTACGCCAGAAAAAAATTTACTCTTGCACAGTACTGTATTAACAATTATATCCCAGCAAACAGGGTGGCCGGTGTTCTCATAGGAAGCATATCCTTAAACATCTTGGGGTCATTCCTCAATGATCCTCATTTCTGCCAAAAATGTAACAGCTTTTGGATATTATGGAATACACTACTGTAAACAATTTTTTTTAAGTTCTGGCTCAAATAGATTGTGGTGACTGTAGTTGATGATAATGCTGACTAGGTGGTCACCAAAGACGTCCTGTTTTGTGTTGGCCTAAACCTTGTCACTTAATCATGGACACCTGACAGTGTAACAGCCTTCAAGATTAGCCATGGATAAGCCACAGGAAAGTGTTACCATCCATATATTTGTACACTGTTTGATAATACTGTTATACTGTACATTAATATACAAAAAATGCAAATGTACTAAAAGCAAAACAATGACATGCATGTGAAAAACATTCATAACTAACAAATTTGTTTTGTAGCTTTTCTGCCGAGATTTAACTATCCTGGGATCCATTGCTTAAAAACTTATTTTCACTAATGAATTTGAGAAGTATAACTATAGTTGGTATGTTGAGTTGATTTTCTGATTGTACAGTTGGCAGAGGATGTCAACAATAGCAGTTGTCATAATACTGACATGATTAAAGGAAACTGCAAAAGTGCTATTGAGCCATACTAGGGGGCTCATTAGTATCCACCCAAGCTCACTTGAGTACGGTATTTGAATGAAAGATGACCGTAAAATGACCAAAAACGAGGCAATAGAAGTTGATAATAAGAATATGAATAAATAGATGGCACATTATCATATAATTAGCGTATATCCTCAAATAATATGAGTTGAGTTCTTTGAAGTACCCTTATACAATTTAATGAATAAAAAGGTTTTCCCTGCATTAACATCTTTATATCATGATAGTCACAACATATCTGCATTAAAATCAGTGTGCAATCCGGTTTTGGTCTCACCAACGCCTCACTTGTTCCCAAAGTCTACCACTATTTGCAAGACTTTAATGTTTATTGTGCTACATAGCCTTCCCGGCTTGGTGCCTTCTTTGATAATCACTTACTTAATTTAATGTTTCTTCGGCAGCTTTATTTCCTTAGTTTCCGAACCCTGTGGTTTCTTTAGCTTGTATATTATAATTCCTACATTTACAGATGTTTCTCTTTGTGAAGATGATTACAAAATTGTGGTTGGCCGAAGCTCAGCCTGTCTGGAACGCCAGTAGGCCTCGGAGCACCCAGTCTCACACCATAGTTTGTTCCACCTGATTGATTGATGAAGATTAAGCCACCCAAAAGGTGGCACGGGCATGAATAGCCCGTAAGTGGTGGCCCTTTTGAGCCATTACCAGTATCAAGAGCTGATACTGTAGATCTGTGGAGGTGCGACTGCACCCTGCGTGACGGGAGATGTCTCCCGTGTGTTCCACCTTTGTGAGACCTCGGTATATAAGCCTAACATGTATATATACACTGGCTGCCTGTCCCCTACACAATGATTTATTATTGATTTTTTTAATTTTGATGTTTTTTATAAATAAATTATTTTAATATTTAATTAAATTAAAATTTATTATTATAAGTACTTAATAATTTAATAATAAGTAGTAAGTTGCAGTCTACGTGGCGTAGTGGTAAAACTCTCTCCTGACGCTTTGTCCTGGTTTCGTATTCTGGCCGGGGAGCCACCAATTGGTGACTGGGCACCAATCCTTGACTGTAGCCTCTCTTCACCCAACAGTTATTGGTACCTTTGTTAAGCGATTTGGCGGGTCGTATTCTGAGAATATTAAGATTAAGGACTTGCCCGAAACTCTATGCATGCAAGTGGCTGTACAAGAATCTAAGAACTCTTATAAATAAATAAATAAATAAATAAATAAATAAATAAATAAATAAAAAGTACTTAAAATTTATTAAAAAGTACAATTTAGTCATAGGAGAGTCCTAGATTGGAATTCACTACCAAATTTCAATATATCCAAGTATTTTTTATGTGAAATGCTGTTATTATATGCACAATTTGTTGTTTTAATAATAAATATTACGCCCAACCACTTTGGCTGGACGGTAGAACGACGGTCTCGCGTCATGCAGGTGTTGGTTCAATCCCCGGCCGTCCAAGTGGTTGGGCACCATTCCTTCCCCCCGTCCCATCCCAAATCCTTATCCTGACCCCTTCCCAGTGCTATATAGTCGTAATGGCTTGGCGCTTTCCCCTGGTAGTTCCCTTTCCTTAATAATAATACGTATTGATTTTTTATTTGTTGGAAATATATCACATCTCATCAAAGAACAGCAGTTACCTAATACCAACATGGTATAAAACCTTATCATAAGCTACCGAACGTAAAGATCAGTGTTTAAAAGTATAATAATACTTAATTATTAAATAAAGTATTAACATTATTAAAGTAATAATACAGCTGATGCCATCTGTTGACAGAAAAGAACCCCTTTTTTTTGGCAGGGATATTCCTGCGCGGGCCCTAAGCCTCTGGCTGGCCCACTAAGTGTTGCTTGTGGCTGGTCAACGGTGTCCATAAGATACAGCTTATGCCATCTGTCAACTGGCTGGTCAACAGTAGCCATATGTTACGGACCCGGATCCAGCGTCCGAGCACGGAGCAGTGACAACCGCGCCATCTGTGGGTAAGCTCCCGAAACCCCCTCCAAATGGATGAAGACACCTGGTGAGGACAAGGTGTACTGGCCACGAGGGCCAGTTTCCAGCCCTGTTCAGCTCACCACGCCGCCGCTGCTGACCTCTGATGAGGTGGTGCTCAGACGACAACGCCATCTATGGAGTGGATATGTCGGGCGTTTGTGTCTGAGCCTGTAAGTGAGGTGCTTTAGTGAGTCCCTGTTATTGATGACGTGTCTGCTTACAGAGTCGACCTGGGACTGCTGTAAGGGAAGTTGAGGCAGTCTACCCAAGGCAGCCGTCCCCATACCTTGTGCTTTGCTGCAGCAGCTGTGAGTCGCCTCCCGGAGGAACACTGTGGTGTTACCCTGCCAGTGAAGTGGCAGTTGAAGGATTGTCGTACCCGGGACCGACTGCTGGAGACGATTGACCACTGGGGTATTGTGGACAGGAGAGTGACCTGTGGTATCACACGAGGCTCCTGACTAGGGCGCTACCCTAGTATCGCTCGTGGAGTGGCCTGAACAGCGTTGCTGATCCGGAACCTGCCAGCAGTCTGCTGGACTTGTGGTTGACGGCCTCCACGGCGGTGCCCCCAGTGGAACTGTGTTTTGGCTGGCCTGTGTCCGGGGTAGACTCAGCTTGATCGAAGGATTCGTCAAGAGACCACGAGAGCACCGAGGACTTGGCACCGAGAGGATCCAGCGTCTTCAGGAGAAGACGACCGTGTATATACTTCCCCTGTGCAGTGTTAATACCCATTCCCCTGTGTAACTTTCATATATTATTTATTGGTGAAGGTATTAATTATAATCCTAAGTTTTTGCCTTTCTTTCCCTTCCCCTTTTAGTTTACTTGCGTTACTGATCACATCCCTTGAAAGCCACTACTGGCTTGGGGCCGGATACCCTTCCTCTAACGACATCAGAGTACGAACCCAGTTGCGACCCGAGAGGGCCGTAACACCAAAGGATACAGCTTATGCCATCTGTTGACAACAAATTACACTACTAACACGCCAGCCTACAAAATACAGCTGGCGCCATCTGTTGCGTCGCCCAGGAACTATCAATAGCCAAACAGCAGCCCATAAGGCGGGTTGTTGGGCTCAAGTAGGAATTCTCGCGCTGGCATCTCATTGGTGGATATTCTTTGTTGACATTCTTCACAACAGCCAATCACAGGAAGGGATCAGCTAAAGTTTCCATCCACTTAATAAATCATCTTCGTTCAGCACACCAACCCTGCGTGACATTCTGCTTTAACTTTAATCTACCCAAAAAGTGAAGCGTTAATTATTTAAAAGTATTAATAAAGTAATAAAAAAAATATTGTAGGATATAACAGGTGTTATATAAAAATGACCTGGCTACCTAACAACCAACACCCTTTCAGTTGGGGTTGCCTCACACGAATAACATTGATGAAACGATGTTCTGCCCCCTAGTATTGGACTACATTATTCAGTTAGATAGAAATTGTTGTCCGGTAATCAACACATAAATCATAATCCGGTAATCAACACATTGTTCTTTTGCACAACAACAAGGTTGTTGTGCAAAAGAACGTATTTCTTAGTTGACGTTTTATTCATAAAAGAGTGTTTGGCATTCCCCGCAACAGCCAATCACAGAAAGGTATTTGGTGGAAGCTCCGCCTCCTTGTGGACATCGCTTCTAGCTCATAGCTTTCTGTCTCATCTCTTGTATATGAAAACTATATTTTTCCATTACTATTATAATTACAATATGAGATATAGAAGTAGTTACACAAAATGGTTAAATTCTGCCATTAAATGGACTTTGGTATATACACAAGTAAGTAATTATCACAAATGTGCATCAATTTATTACAATTCATCCATTATTAATTACAAATGTCTACTGTATAGTTTTTTCTGTCGCCATTACTTAGAGAAATTTCAGATATTACACCATCTATTTATCAATCTAATTTTTGTATATATATATATATATATATATATATATATATATATATATATACACAAGTTTTTATTTTGTATTTATTTTTATTTATTTATATATACTATACAAGAGTTGTTACATTCTTGTACAGCCACTAGCAAGCATTACATTTCGGGCAAGTCCTTAATCCTAATTTTCAGACACACACACACACACACACACACACCCAGGAAGCAGCCCGTAGCAGCTCTCTAACTCCACCTATATTCTGTTAGGTGAACAGGAGCATCAGGGTGAAAGAAACTCTGCCCATTTACTTCCGTCTACACAGAGGATCGAACCCGGACCCTTAGGACTACTAACGACGAGCGCTGTCCACTCAGCCGTCAGGCCCCCCTGACCATAATTTATTTATTTATTTATTTATTTATTTATTTATTTATATATATACAAGAAGGTACATTGGGTTTGTGAGAATACATTGGAAAGTACAGTATTTACACTCTTGTAAAGCCACTACTACGCACAGCGTTTCGGGCAGGTCCTTAATCTAACAGATAATTTTAAGTAGGTAATTTCTATCAGAATTGATAAATGACAAAGATACATTGCAAGAGAAAATGAGATGAGAGAGCTTAGTAAGTATATTAAAGCACATTGTTATATTAAAGCTCTGATTGGTTACATTGACAGCTTGATTAGTAATTTAAACATGACATGTGGAGACAAGCAAAAAAAATTGACAAAAAATTGACATGTGGAGACAAGCATGTGGCTTCTCACTTTGTTTTAAATAATTAATATTACATTTTAGGCGTTTACCCTTAATACATATTATTATATACGAGTATAACTATCATTGTAAATGGCACATTCCCTGTGGTGCAGTGGTAAGACACTCGCCTGGCGTTCCGCGAGCTCTTTGGCCTGGGTTCGTATCCTGGCCGGGGAGGATTGACTGGGCACCGATCCTTCACTGTAGCCTCTGTTCACCCAACAGTGAAATAGGTACCTGTTAAACGATTTGGCGGGTCGTATTCTGGGGAAAATTAGGATTAAGGACCTGCCTGAAACGCTATGCGAGCTAGTGACTATACAAGAATTTAACAACTCTTATCTATATATATATATATATAATATATATATATATATATATATATATATATATATATATATATATATATATATATATATATATATATATATATATATATATATATATACATAAAAAATTGAAATTGAAATTGAAATTGAAATAAGTTTATTGAGGTAAACTTAAAAAATAGAAGTCAAGTGTTATGAACGCTGGCGGCGGCGTTCTTGTAACGTCTGGATTATATCCTTCACATATCTCAACTTTATTTAATAACTATATGCCTGTTAAATAGAAGATTTAAAAAAAATAATAGCATTTTATTGTGGTTGTTAATATTGAGCAATGATATATATATACGAAAACGTACTAATTTTGTGTCAGAAATGGTAAATATTTACATGTTGTGGAGCTGTGTCCGGAGGCTGGCCCCGGCCGCTCTCTTCACTCACTTCTTAGGCAATTTACTCACCTTGTACGCCAGTTTACTCACCTCTGTGTAGACATGGATATATATAACAATCGTGAGTATTAAAACAAGCAGTCATCAGGTGAATATTTATATATATAGTGCATATATAAGGCTTTTGTCCCTGTGGAACCGCCTACCCGCTGAAGCCGTAAATACCAAAATTCTTCAGTCTTGAAATCCAGCTAGGAAAAAAAAAATGAGGACAAATGAGGCCTTTGACAAGCCGCTGGCTTGCTATCCTATTCGAGGCCACTAGAGTGTTAGTGGCCTTCTAGGTAAATTTAGGTAAATATTTTTCTGTACTGTGATGGTAATCACTTGTCAGTTAGGTTAAGCAGCATTGGGTCTGGTCAGCACGGGATGGGTGACAGCCTCACCATTAGAACCTTATACTCCATATCACGTATGTGAGACTACACTTGTAGTATGCAGCTCCAGCCTGGAGGTCATATCTTCTGACGAATAAGACGAAGCTTGAGAAGTTGCTAAGGTATGCCACTAGACTAGTACCAGAACTAACAGTTAGGAGTTACAAGGACAGGCTGTGTGAACTGCATTTCACGTTGCTGGAAGACAGAAGAGCTCTGGGAGACATGATCACCACATACAAAAATTCTCAGGGAAATTGACAGGGTAGAAAATGACAAATTATCATATGGGGGTGAGAGGGGTGTGTCTGCATAAGAGGACACAGGTGGAGACTGAGTACCCAAATGAGCTACAGAGACATTAGAAAAAACTTTTTCAATGTGAGAGTAGTTAATAAATAGAATGCATTAGAAAGTGATGTGGTGGAGGCTGACTCCATACACAGCTATACAGGTAGGGTAAGTTAGGTTAAGGATTTTGTTTCCCTGGTTCTTGCTTGCCCCTTTAGATCAACAAAAATGTTCTTTGGAGCAGTGTCTTTGTTCCCTTGTTCCAAAAATTATTTGTCTCGGGTTGTCTGCAGTGTCATTAAGTTTAGCCAGCAAGAGGTTTACCCTCATGCTTATGGTGCGTAGACATTTGCATCTTTGCTGCCTTTGAGAATATGTCTTGCCCTGATATATTGGACTTGGGGGAGGTGTGTCTTTTTTTTTCTTTTTGTCTCCTCCTCCTGTCAGCTCTAGACTGACTGTAAGAGATCATCGAAGCCTGCAGCTCGTGGTGCTGCCACCTAGTGGTGGTTGGGTACTACTAGAATGGCTTGACTACTAGGTTGCTCATTTTTCTGAATTGTTTTGATTACCTGGCTGTTGTCTGTATTGTTTCATCGTACCATTTTGATTGGTATTTCCTCGATTAGAGTGATCTTGAGCCCTCTGCTCTCGGTGCCTCTGTGAGAGAACCAGGTTTTGGCTTCTGGTCTTGTAAGTTTAAAAAGTTTAAAAACTTGTAAGGGCCTCTGTGGTCCTAAAAGAGAGAAGCATGTCATTACTCTCTTTCTCTGTAAGTTTTAAATAAGTTGGTTCTGGTGGAACCTTCGTTAGGTTTTGTTTTGAATTTATCGTGTTTTTTGGTTAGGCTTTTTTGAAGATTTTGTGTAGATTAGGGTTGGTATCTCAGAAGGGTTACTTGATTTAGTTTTAATTTGAGGGGATTATATTATTAATATCTGATGAATTTGTTGAGGACAGGTTCAAAGACTCAGGGTATCTGCCAGCGAGGTAGTCACCTTATGGTCATCATATCAGTCATGAGTGTGACTGTAGTAATAATACTAGTATTAATTTTTTTAATAAAATACATATAGTATAAGAACTTATTAGTTATTTATTTGTAGGTACAGAGGATGCATATTAAATAAAATCATTGTTAATGCAATGCTTTTCAACATAAGTTTTAAAATTTTAAAGCCATTTATATAACACATAAATGAATAATTACCTGAATAAATATCTTATGCAGTATATTTAGTAGCACAGTGGTCTACATCTTCGGCTTACAATCGAGATACCTGGATAACCCGTGCACAAGACAAAAGTAGTTGGGCATGTTGCCTTTCCCTTAATACCAGTGTTCACCTAGTAATAAAATAGGTTGGGTTATTGCTGTGGGTTGCATCCTGGGAAGGTTACTAGTGGGCCAAGGAGGACCATACACCTGATGCGTCTTCACTTAGTAGTAAAATAGGTATCCGGGAACAAGGCAACTATTGTAGAATAGCTCTTGGGGAAAGTTCAGTAGTTGGCCTTGGGGTACGGAGGGGACTTTGATGAACTTAAGTCCTGATCATAACAATGGGAATAATTGCCATTCAAAGATGTGTTTTGTTGGGTCATCTTGTTTTTTGTTATGTATCTTTAAGTGTTTATTGGAGTGTGTGTAAATACAGTACAGTATTTCAGAGTAATTTTACCACTTCAGTTCCTCTCAACCTGAAATTTAATGTTTTTGGAAATCATTTTAATTTTATACTTACATTATCTGTTGTTTTTGACTACATATCCCCAATGCTAGGTTAAAAGCTCTCTTTGAATTGCATTTTTATTTTGCCAATTTTTGGATTTACCAGTACTTTTAAGGCTGTTCTAAATTGCTTTTAAGATTTGTTTCTTAAGCATACTGTATTTGGTTTTAATCCAATATTCATATTTCACATTGAATTACTGGTCTGTACGTTACAATATAAAATTAAAATACAGTACAAATTTAACAGGCAACAACTTTTCATTCCAGAATAATGCCCGACTCAAAAAGAACGCCTTCTGCAAGAAGTAATGGAGGCAGTCGCAGAAGACGATGGGAGGTGAAGTCAAAAGAGGCCTTCGAAACTTCCTTGGCTATAGAAATTGAGTCTCCAGAAAACAGAGCACATCATACTAAAAAGGAATGTAGAAAAGAACCATCTACAGAAACCTCAAGGGATAAAAATAACTATTATAATTCATATGGAAAATATCCCAAAGCATCGTCCCCAGAAGCATCAGAGAAAACCAGGGAAGGGAAAGATTGTGATGGCACAGACATTCTTTCATCTAGGATTTCTGCTTTAATTGATGAAGCCAGTGCAAAAGTTAAAGATCCCCAGAGAAAGTCTTCAAAGGATAAACAACAGAAATCTGAATCAAAGGCAGAGGAGGAGAATGAAAGAGAACATAGGTTGAAAGGTACACATGAAAAACGACCAGTTAAAGACAGCGCTACAGAAGCTTATCCCATTGAGAACTTACAAATTATACCTCTGAGAAAAAACGATAAAGCACAGATAATAAATGATAAGTTTGAAACGAAGTCGCTTAAAGTAGCAGCGAGCCCCGAAGGAAAGGGTGGATATGAAGAGGAAAATTACGTGGCCTCGGCACCACCTCTGCCTTCAGATGAGCAAACGACTCCCAAGAATAAGAAACACAAAAAGGAATACGAGTCAAAGCAGTTGATGATCACAGATACAAATGAAGAATCTTATATAAGCCTTCAGTTAAAAGAAATGAGTGATGACATCATAGAAGTGACTAGAGAGGATAAAGATGGTATATTATCAGCACCCAAGCTTTTACTTGCTGCCTCTGCCTCACATCCATCTAGTAACATAAGCACAATATATCAAGAAAGACTGAGTGGCTTTGTGGTGACCAGAAATGAGTTTGCGGGTGTACATAGGAAGAACGAAGATCTGCTTGATGTGAACCAGGTTCCAAGCCGAACCTCTCATGCAGTTTTCCTTCAGGGAGGGTTCAGAACCTTCTCAGTACTATGCCAAGGTCTCCTTGCTGGGATAACTCTAGCTCATTGTCTCTTGGTAAGTAGAATATTTGGTTTGAATAACCTTTACTAACAGAAAGTACTGTATATTAATTTTTTTAGTAAATAGGAAATCAATTTCTTCATATGCATTTTATAGTGCAACGGTTTAGCCCAAGGTTAATGAACGCTAGTGAATTAGTTAAACATTTTATGTAACATAAGTTAAAACTGTCTTCGGTGAACAGAAATGCCTAAGCACTGTAAGCACTACAAGAAAGTTAGTGCTTACAGTGCTTAGGCATTTGCTCCTCAAAATTAACTTACTTTATTGTGACAGAGACAAGGACTGCCCCACAGCCAAGGACAAATGGCTGTATTAGACAAAAAAACAACAGAATTTAATGTATGTTTTAAAGTTATGTTAGAATACTTCGGAATGCCTTGTGAATGAAGAGGTTTGCTGCAGATAACATTTTTATATCTTATGAAATTATTTAAAAATGCCAGAAAAGAAAGCATTTTAACCTGCAGCCATAGATGCAGAAAAAAGATTGAATAAATTTAACATTAACAGTTGCATGAAGGAAATGTAGTGTATAACATTAAGGCAATATTTAAGTTTTGGTAAATTTTGGCTAAATTATTGTGAATAGGAAAAATGGATTAATTTATTATTCATGTTCTGCTAGTTCCTTGAGAGCAGAGTAATAATTGACCAAAAATGAGAGGAAATTTTTCCATTTGCTAATAAGGAATGGCATCATATATGTTAGTTTCTTCCATCTTCTAAAAATAACCAGAAAATTACAATAATGTGAGTCCCATGCAAACATATATTTCCAAGAGTACAATGTAAATACTGTATCTAGCTATTCCTTATGTGTGACCGAAGTATTTAATAAGTCATAAGTGTACAAAAAACGAAAGAAAAACAAGAAGCTACATCATCATTAAGAGGACCATTTTTTTCAGATATTCCTGTTGGAGAGTGACCCTAGTAAGATTCCTGGTCTGTACCCACCAAGCATGACCCACGTCTTCTTTGCTCTCATCATTTTTCTCAGCACCATCTGCCTGGTGTCTGCGTGTGATAGGTACGTATTTCGTTGATCTTGTGTGCGTGAGAGGTAATCTGTTTATATTTGGACAGCTAGTGAAGAAGGCGTGTTAGGAAGATTGCAAAGGGTACATGGCCTTATGTCCTTGTGGAGAGCAAGTTCATGGAGAAACACTGGAGAGTGAAAGGCATGTATGGAGCAGATTCGATTTTCTTGAATGTATAATAATGTAGGTACTGTATATGCCTGGCTTGTGTTCTCATGGTTCAATATATATACAGTACTGTATATAGATGCGGTCACAAATTATAGAGATAGGTGCGAGCCTGATGTATAATAAGATTAAATGGAGTTCTGCACAGTATGTGCAGTACATATACAGAATACAGTACTGTACAGAATGACAACGATTTGTATAGATTATTTGTGAGAAAAGACAAATGTTAAGTTGTTAGTGTTAACTAAAAAGTGCTAGAAGTTGTTGTTGATCTGTTTAAATACTTGGGATGTGTGACCGATTAGAGATAACTTTGTTTAAGCAAAGTTAAGGGTAAAATGAGACATTGAAGGAAAGTGTCTTATACAATGAAAGTTCTGATTAGAAAGGTCAACACAGCAAGAGGTGTTGCCATAGGTGTTTGCATGACATCAACATAAACAATTAAGAATTAGAGGATTACTAATGAACGATGTGAGGAACAATTGTGATGTTGGGAGAGTAGATGAGAATAAGAAATGAAAATGTAATGGACAAATTTGGAATGCAAATATCTATAAACTAGAAGAATGAGGAGATTGTATTGAAATAATTTTGGCGTGATTAATGAAAGAAATGCCAAGAAAAGTGCCAGCCATAGCATGTGAAGAACATTTTAATTTTGTTCTGTATGTGTAGCGAGTTCTAAATCAGATCTTGGCTGCAATTTAAGGGTTGGTATTTTTCCATCCCTCAAAGATGTGTTGAAGATTGCTAAGAGAGGATAACTTAGTAATCGGCATTCTCTCAAGACCCAGGATGATATATTTTTGTGTACTGCTTGTACATGGTTGCAATTGTGAGGGAGTGAGCATATAAACATAAGGGAGTGAGCATATAAATATGAGGGAGTACGTCACCCAATGTCATGAAGCAGGGCATTGCTTCATGGAATCCAATTGGTTGGGAAAATCCCCAATTGGGAAAAATTTGTGCCTGTTTCCCTATTTTAGAAATAGGGAAACTATTCCTTATTGCACAAATAGACTCAAGTATTGGTGGAATCTCATTCAAACTGAACTTGGTTCAACAGAAGTCTAGATGCAACAGAAGAATTATAATTCAGTTTTAGAGTACCTTGTTTATCTAGATTAGGCATCTGAAGAAAAAAATGGAAAATTGGGATTTGTGTTGTCAATAAAAGCAAAAGATTTGTTAATTTAATTTGTAAATTTATATTTTATAAATTTAAAACCTAAAAGGTGTACCACCTCTGGTGCAAGTGTAGGGAACCATAGCCTCGGAGAAGAAAATAAAGATTACTCGGGGAAGACCTCGTGGATCCTCACTGAACACTGATATTTTCTTCTTCTACCACCCCTATTCTTTTAGTGTGTGTGTATATATCTAACTTTATTTTAAAATTTCATTACACAAAAAGGGTTACAACAGTGGTTACATACAAATTACAAGACTACTTGTCGCAGGTTGTATAGCTCCTCCAGCTCCTCAGATGGCAGGCAGGAACCATGGATGCAGTGAGCATTTCCTCTCTGGATCGCCACACTAAGGCACTGAAAGAGAAAACTGGCAGTTCTAGGGTCTCTAGTTGTTTCAATTAGCTTGAACCCCAGCTCCATCAAAAAACTTGCAGCACTTTTACTCCAGGCACCAAGTGACTGAGGCAATGGGGACAAAATTGTAGTGGTGATCAAGGTCTCCGTATTTACGTGACTTGGCTGCTTCCCGGTGATTGGCAGCACCTTCTGCCTGTGCAGCATTGAAGTTAACATAGGTGTTGACTAAAGTTGAAACGCATGTGTAGTATACACCAACTGTCTACCATTCTTCCAGGGGGTTCACCGTGATCCCGTCTGGGCGACCGACAGGCTCATCAGAGTTGCGGGGCATTAGGTAACGGGACTCTCTCTCTACTGGACAACCGGCTGTGGTAAGGCTTCTCTTGATAATGTCGTTAACCTTGCCGTGTCTTGCATACCATCCTCCTGTCCTTTGGCAGAGAAGGCCATGCCGTCCGTACCTGTCGGCCACGGCCTTGCTGCAAATTCATCTGTATTCGGTGTGGATTGGAGCAGCAAGGCGGAGAACCACAGCAATTCTTTAGGGCCTGTAGTGTGAGACGAGTGGCAGTTGCTGACATTGGGGTTGCTAATAGGAAGTCCCCTGCATGGGGAGCTGCTACAGCTCTTAAGTTGGGCAGTATCATTTGGGGGTGTCACAGCTTCTAGTAATGTTGCAGCTTCTTGGTCGGCAATGGGGCGATCCCAGCTGGATTGCTTATGGGCTTCAGAAAGCAGTGGTTGGGGTGCTGGTACTGCGAGAGAGACCCATTTGGTGCGCAGTCTGTAAAGCTGGGATCATGTATCCCTGCCTGTTGAACTAGGTGCTCAGGTAGGATTTCTTTCACCGAGTTGTCAGATAAATTATATATATTATATATATTATATTATATATATGCAGTATATATAAATATATTATTATATAAATTATTATATGTTATATATATAATTTTATAAATGATATATTTTTTTGTGATTTTAGTTCTGTATTAAAATATGCACAAATATATATTTCATCATTTGTGCTAATAAAATTACATTAACTGTGACACAAAACTAATAAAATGTAGACAAATATTTTAATGCAAAGGGAAAGATTTCTGCAATGGCAAACCCTGGTATCAATTAGTTCACTTGAGTAACAGCAGTTGCAACACACCGCTACAGTATGTCTGCATTGAAATGAAATAACAGTAATTTTATTTTATTGATTCAAGAAAAATTATTTACATATACATTTATATGTGTGGTTTCCTCCGAGGCTAAGGGTCCCATTCTTCCAGCCAAGAGGTGGTACTCCCTTCCCTATACATTTTATATACAGGTATTCATTTTTTATTGCTGAATATTTGCAGAAGTGATCTCATTGGGAATGGAGTGTTTTCTGGTCATGGTATTAAGGTACCATGGACCACTGCATTCTACATCTCCTCCTTAGTGCTCTCTTTGGCGGCTATTCGCACTGAAAATGTTCTCATTAACTACAATAGTTATCGAAGCTCAAGTTTTACGGAGAAGGAGGTAAGTTGATTTTTGTGCTTTGAATAAAATATACAATTGACTGAATTAAATATATAATTGGCAGAATAAAATATACGATTATCATATTTGGTTTTTCTTCATAAAACATCAGATAAAGGAGCTGGTGGAGTGGTGGCGATGGGTGTGTGTCGCTCGGTCATCACTAGCACTGTTGGCATGGCTGGCGATGGTTCCTGATCCTCACACTGATGCCCTCCTGGACATGATTCAAGAATTCCACCGTAGTTAAGCCCTATTGCCTCATGCTATAGTAATGCCCTGCATAGAGAGAGAGGTTGCCCGATGAAATTACAAGAGTGTGACATATCTGAGAAAATATCGAGGCCGTATGATGGGATCAAACCCACGTGCCTGGACTGAGGAGCACATTGTAATGGGGTGTTAAATATTAGCACAGTAGCACACTTGCACTGCATTGTACTCTACAATAATTTAGTATGGGCTGAATATTTGTGAAACACATTTGCGATTGGCTCTCTTGACCGTTCAAATCAGAATGTTGTCATTTAGAACGAAGAAATGGCACTTATATGCATGTGTGGGTTGCACATACATGTACAGTGGCAAAGATAATATAAAGCAAATACTATATAAAACAGAACAAAGGGCAGCTGATTTCCAAATGCAGTTCTATATTGTATACACTTGATTGCTTCTGACCCATAGACCTACTATAATACAGTATACACTTGCCTGATTACCTTTAAACCATGCACCTGTAATACAATATACACTTGCGCGATTACCACCGACTCATACACCTACTATGGATGCTAGGACACAGAAGGTGAAAATAAAAACATCAGGCATTTCCTTTCACCTGATGTTGTTCACCTAGCAGTAAATGGGTACATGGGCGTTGGGGTAACTTATATCATGGGGGAAAGTCAGTACTGTAGTTGGCCTAGGAGGACCTCAATAAGCCTAACAAGCTTCCTGCCCCAGACAGTGGGCAAGCTAACCAAGCATCAGCTGGGCAAGTGTTTCAAGCTCCGAACTGCTCTATGAAGGCAGTATCGGCTTGTAAATCAAGTTGAGCCAGAGTCGGTGATCTAAACTTCGATCTTCGTAATTCCTGTCTCATAGGGTGCATAGTGGTGAGTCATAATCCATGAAGGGTTGACCCATCAATACACAATGGCCCCTGTACTGTTTGAGCAACTGGCATGGTGTGTTGTTAAAATACCAGACGCACGTTCTCTGTGATGTGGGCTTCATAGAGAACACGGCTTAGTCGTGTGGACAGCCGTATTTGCCTCCTTTATATATATGCCATTGTAAGTATAAATATGTTCTCTTGTCACTCCTTAGTTATTATAATAGCTGGGGTAGGCAAGTATATCATGAAAATACAACAGAAAAAGTCTAAAATTTGTCTCCGATTCAGGGATATTTCTGTTGAAAAATTTTATGTATTAGTAGATGAATTTTTTGTGGTGCATATAATTTTGTTGCAAATCTCTGATTATATTTCTTGACAGAACAATACATTGTTATAATAGGTATGGAACATTTAGACACTATGCTTCTAAATAATGAGTGAAAAATACATTTAAATTATTATTGTAACGTCATGGTTTTGAGAGCTCGAAGCAAGGCGTGTTACACCAGACTACACCTGACACCCCCTGCTTAGTGTTTAGTCGCATCCTTACAATTTTTGGCAACGTATTGGCAGCAGCTGTCTCTTAAAGTTTTTAGTCTTGCCTAATTTTACAGGAATGTATTTCTGACAGCAATTTATAATGAGTGATGCATGTACAGTATTGTGAATGTGCTTTAAGTCGGCAATTCTGTGGCTGAGTTTCTCTAGTCTGTGATAAGCTCTAGATGAAGCAGCAGAAGGCATCTGTCATTCCTGTGTGACAGGTGTCGGCATTAATAAGATCAGATATGCCTTAAACTTGTCCAAGTGTTCTTGTTCACAGTAAATTTAAGTCGGTTGAGTTTTGTTGGGTTCCCAGCCACATTGGTGTCTCTTTAAATGAGCGTGCGGATGCTGCCGCCAGAGAAGCTGTCCACTCGTGTCCTATCTCTCATAAAGGTATTCCCTATTCCGACTTACCCGGTTATCCATTCCTCCATCCTTACCCGTTGGCAGGCTTGTTGGTCTTCTGTTACTGGTAACAAACTGTGTACTCTTAAGAGTTGTGTGTCCTCGTGGTCGTCGTCCTGCCACCGTAATCGGCGATGGGAAACAGCTCTGGCGAGGTTGCGTATTGGCCATACTCGCTTAACTCATGGTCACTTGGAGTGCCACCCTGCTCCTTATTGTCCAAATTGCATTGTCCCTCTTACGATTGTGCATATCCTTATTGAATGTCCTGACTTCCGGGACGAGCATGTGTCTTGTTTTCCGACCGTCCCCCGCGGTCGCTTGTCCCTCGATAGTATTCTTGGTGACTCGGATACTTTTGATATTGTTCGCCTTATGCGTTTCTGTTCTCATATTGGCATCCTTGGTGATATTTAGCACCCTCTGATTATCCCCCACATTTGAAGGTGCTACATAGCCTTCCCGGTTTGGTGCCTTCTTTTGATAATTACTTACTTTGGATTGGATTTTGGTAAGACTAGCCCCATACATTGTTTAATATACAGTATATTATTTGATCATGACACTCAAAATTAAATCATATGAAGTACATTATGTGTATGTATGAAATGTCTGAAATATTGCTGTGGGTATTTAGATGGTATATGTTCCCTGTGAGGCTAGTGGGCAAAGGAAGTGTTCTGACCTAGTTGTGTTTGCAGGGGTGGGGGGAATGGGGATTGAGATTGAGCTCTGGCTCTTTGGTCCCGTTTCTCGACTGTCAATCAGCTGGTGTACAGGTTCCTGAAACTATTGGGCTCTTATCATATCTGCATTTGAAATTGTGTATTGTCACGTGGGGGGTGGGCCGGGGCTCTGCCAGCACTCGGCTGCTAGGGGCTCAAAAGGCCGAATACTCAGCCCTTCCGACTCCCGGGATTCACCGGAGTCTTCTTGGTCACACAGGAGAGGACCAACAATGCCCACCTCCGCAGGTCTTTGCTTCCACCACAAAAGGGGGTGCCACTGATTCACCCTGGAAGCCCTTCTGTCAAACACGGGGGATACTGTTAACAGTTCCGGCCTAGACCCGTGGAGGAGTGAAGGAAGACTCAGGCTTACCTTATAACAATATCCTCCCTGAATCTTGCCTGCCAGACTATATGGTTGCAGGAACTCCTTTCCCGCCTGTTCTCTATCTTCTTCTTAACAAGGTCGCCAGCTGGGTTATTATATCTGCACCCCAGCAATGCAGTTCAGTGGGTGTATTATATATTGTTTGTAGCCAGAAGATTTCTACTCCCATAGATCTGCTGCTAGACTGTTGGCCCAGGGTACTCTCCCAGGAAGGTCTGTGTGGCTTTGCCTCTCTATAGCCACTACGTCAATAGTTGCCACCATTTAGGCACTGATACTGATCGGATGGCTAAGGGTACACTTTTATGTAAGTCTGTGCTGTCTTTACCACTCTCCAGGCAATAAGAACTTCTATAGAGAACGTTGTGTACCCTAGGTGGTAATATGATAACCTTCGTGTATGCTCATAGAGAAGTGTTATAAATGGAGGCACACTTAAACACAATGATAAAAGTGTGAATTTACTGATGCAAATTACATGATCACACATACAAACACAAGTAATACATGAATATGAAAATAAGGATAATAAGTCTGAAGATCGTCAGCCTCTTCTTCCACGACCTCCAACACTCCTTCAACTGGGCAGAAAGACAGGAGTCCCACACTCTCTCACAGGAGGGCCTCTTCACCACGGCGGCGCCTCTTCTTCACTGTCCTGCCATCAATACACACTGTCCTCTCTGACAGTCCTGGACACAAGCTGCCTAGCAGCCTATTCTACTACTAAAGTATCAATGTCCTGTTGCCACATACATAAGTAACTATTGTGGCCTAACTAGCCTACTCGCACAAGGGGTAATGGGAGGGAAAATGATCTACCTTACATTCCTGGCTCACGACGCCTGTCCCTCGATGGTGTGAGGTTCCCACGCTTCCTTGGGTCGATCCTTGACGATCCAGGACGTTCCACAGGTCCTCAGGTGTCGTGGAGCCTTCGCGTCGTCGTCGTTCCAATCCCTGAGATTCAGCTGCCCCAATCCTGGTTCATGGATGGGCGCTGAGCTAATCACTATTTTTCCCACACTCGCCCCTTCCACGAGGCGTTGCTCCTTGTCCTAGGCACAGTGTCGTCCTTCCAAAACCCTCAGTAGATGTGACCCGGTCACAGCTAGGCTTGCCCGCCACACCTTTTCAGGCCCCCAACGTCCAGCGTCGTCGCCGAATAATTTCCAAGTTTGGCCCTCTTTCGCTCAATAAACTTGGTTCCTTTTTGCTTCCCAGAAGCGCGGGGTCTCCAATATATCCGATGGGCTGCAATAGCCAGCACTAATCCACTAAGAAAGGCTTGTAGAGCCTCTAATCCTTGAGAGCAGACCGAGACGCGTCCTGTCGCTTCCAAAGTCGGGTCAACTCTGACGTTGGCGCCGCCCGGGGCACTCGGTGACGTCACGGCGGGCCCTGATTGGTCGCCCGCGACCTAAGTCGGCCAATCCGCGATCGGCTAGTGTCCCTTCCAAAAGGTCATATTTGCATTAGGGGATACTCTTTCATTTTATATCAGGGCGCCAATTTCCCCTTATTTACAACTTATAATGTAATTTTCTCCTTTAACTGGCAGCCGGTTTGGTCGCCACATATGTCAATAGACTCCCTGAACCTCAGAGAATCAGCAGGGAGAGCTGATATGACTCTTAAAGCAGGCAAATGAAAAAAATAGGAGAGGGCACCGTAACAGTATGGAGTCTGCCTCAGTCACATCACTACCTAATGCATTCCATTTGTTAACTACCCTGAATTGAAAAAATTCTTTCGAATATCTATTTCTCATTTGAGTACTAAGCTTCCATCTGTGTTCCCTTGTTTAAGTGGTTGGACACAATTCCTTACCTCCCCCCCATCCTATCCCAAATCTTTATCCCTGATTCTTTTGTGGGACTATTCTGGTGGCATACCGCTGAGTCTTCTGTGGGACTATTCTGGTGGCATACCGCTGAGTCTTCTGTGGGACTATTCTGGTGGCATACCTCTGAATCTTCTGTGGGACTATTCCTGTGGCATACCTCTGAATCTTCTGTGCAGGTTTCCTGTAATGCTAGTGGGTGATGGTGGTATATGCTCCCTGTGATGCTAGTAGACGATGGTGTATATTTTTGTGTATCTGTTGTCCGTGTTTTTGGACTGCATTTCCAGGGAGCTTTGCGGTATGATTAGTTTGCCATATTCAAGTGAAGCCTGGGTTATAATGATGATGGCGATGACTTTGAAAGTACCTTCTGCACGTAGTAGTGTGTTAGCAAACTTTTCCCATTTATTGACATGTTCATAAAGTACTTTGTGATTGTGACAAAATTTTAAATGACAATCATTCATTCCTGCACACAAATTGTTCCATTATTGCCTTATTAATTTTATTTCATGTACTGTACTATGTAATATTTGTGCACGAGTGTTTCGTGGCAAAAAGAATACACTACAGTAGATGGTTTCACTAAATGGCATTAAATCATTTAGTAGTGTGTGTGTGTTCATAATTATGTGATATGATGTGGATAGTGGAGTACTGACTGAGGTGGTAAATGAATGGATCCACTGATCTGGCCAGCAAGAAGAGTCAGCACCTCCACAGGCATCTTGCACAGAGAAAAATATATTTTGGCAAATGTAGTTTTGCTCAAAATGTTTGCACAGTGACGTGTTTACTTTTAGAAATATTAAAATGACAGATCTATAGATATTGTTAACGGCTTGTAGAATTGATTCAGATTGTGAAACTAGTTGTTTTATATGAAAAATATATTTTATCTGGAATGGATGTTTTATTTATTGTTGCACTATATGAAATGAACTTGATTCTCACCAGTCTCTTATTTAAAGGCCGAGTTGTATTTTTTTCAAGTGTTGTTGTGTTGTGTGTTGTTGTGTTCCCAAGCTCGAAAAGTACGAAGGTGGCTCATCATTTCTGATAGGGAGGCCTCAAGTGGGCCCCTTCCCCTTCCCCCATTGCTATGTGCTGGTCAATGCCATGCTGTTAGGGAATGTCACCAGGCCTCTGAGACACCCTCGATGGGAGTTGGGATCAGAATCTGGCCCAATAAATGTGGCGACAGGAGTAGGGGACCACTGCAAGGCTAAAAGTAATTTCTGGCAGATGATGAAGTCACCATTGGTGATCAAACCAATCAGAAGATGAAGAAACGACGAAGTAACCATTGGTGCTGTAATGCAACTACTGAGCGTACTGCACCCACCTGCCAAGGCCATCAATTACTTACCTGGTCACACCATAGCCACTGCTTATCTTTCTATAGTTTTTAATTTACGGCTTAATGATGTTGGTGCTCTCTGGAACCTATGTTCGTCCAGGAGCCATTCCTTTAATTGGAGGGCTCCTATGGGCTCCTTCTTGCTATCAACCTGCATGATGCCACCCAGTTTGAATCTTACCTGCTCCTTGAGAGTCAAGTTCAAGTTCAAGTATGTTTATTGAGATAAGAAAGAAATACATCTCAAAGGGATAGAGTAACTTAGGCTATTTCTACCCCCCCCCCCCCTCTACTTCAATTCCCTCAAGGGGCACACAAATTCAGTGAGTACAAATAGACAAATAACATTACAAGAATTCCATTTAAAATTGCAGGTTAATATAGTAAGCACAGCATATAATTGTTACACTGTTTGGGACAAAATTCTTGTAACTCCTAAGTATACTGTCTATCATACCATTATCATACATCCAAACAATTTGATGTGGTACACTACGTATTTCCTTATTTCTATAGTTATCAGCTGTTAATTGCTGGTGTTGAATTTTTTATGTGTAGTGC